ATAACAATAAAAAAAATTAAATTTTTTAAATTTCTTATTATAAATTTATTCTGCAAATTTTGCTTTATAATTCTTTTCAACCTTGTTATAGACGTACTCTATAATTTTTATCATTGTTTGTATACTTTAAGTTCTGATTCTGTTATTCTAATTGATATTTATAATAGTTAAACATTTGTCAAGAGTGGCATTGTATTTCTCGTTTATCAAACAGAATTTTACTATTGAACATCTCTCCTCCTCTTTCTCAAAAATTGTAGCTCTTATATACATTATACATTAACGGCATTAAATATCAAGATGGACGCATCAGGCTGAATGCGAGCTGCAGGCGTGTAAAAGGACAACAAAAGTCTACGGCGCGTTGCGATTAACTGAAACAACCGGCTCGACAATGGAGTAATCAGCGAGCTTTTCGACGCCAGCGTCGCCTCCTCTCGACTACCCCCGACCGTCTCACCCCCCATCAGCACTGTCACCCCTTCCTCGCGGGGTGCACGTTTGTTGTCGCTTCAGCAACACTACGATCATGTCCTGCTCTGTAATATTCATACCTATTGTTTTCGCTATTACGTATCGATTTTTACGCTCTGTAATTGAATAAAATTTATGTAATTCAATTTATAGTAACATTTTTTACACTCTAAAAAGAAAGATCCTAATATTGAATCTGACGTGTATAAATAGCCATAAATTTATTTGTGCAGATTTATAACAGTATTCAATACAGAATCCAACTAATCCGCTACGGTATCTGTTTATGATTATAAATATAGAAAATAAAAATCTTATTAAAAATCTAGAATATTTTGTTATGAGGAAATAATAAAGCATTCTATCTTGTAACATATGTATGGCATAATATTACAAATTTTTATTATTTCTCTGTCATTTCGAAGGTAATTTGATGTAATACAGCATATGCTTGAAGAAAATAATATATGCACAAATAATAAGACTTTGCATACACCATGTTTATTAGATGGAAGCAGCCAATTAAAGAGGTAGAGAGATCTTAAGGAGCCAACGATGGATAGTCGAGAAGCCGAATTGTTTCATTGATGAGCGAGCATTCAGCTCGAGGTAGGCGGGAAACAAGAAGTGGAGGGAGAAGCGGGTACATTAGATGTTACGGCGTTTACGCTGGCAACCCTCTTTCGGACCGCGCCAGTCGATGAATGGTATAATCAGCGGTCGCGTGGCACCCCCGTGCTCGATGAGGATGGAAGAGAGTAAGACGAGAAATGAAAACCCTTCCCACCCCATTCACTATCCCCCTATTCGTCCGTGATGTTGGAATCGCGAAAAATCACTTAGCCCACCCAGTCATGTTTTGTGCCCCGAAAGTATTCCCTTTCTCAATTCTTGTTCACGTAGAATTTGATTCTTAACACAAAACAATCCATTCTAAAGAGGAAACTTTTAGAGCAGAATAATATAAATAATTATACGCCCTAGATAAGAAATTAAAGTTTGGTTCTTTTTTTCAAGACCGATTTAAGTATTGTCTTAAAATGCTAATATACACTTTGTGATTGGTGTAATTGACATCTTAAATCTGTACTTAACATGGTCTTAAATATAAGAATTAGTTATGAATACCAGCTATGAGAAGAACTGAAAAACGTACAACCGAAATTTGAAATCAAATTGATATTAAGCGAATAATAACTGCTTGGCATAGATAAGAAATTAAAAAGCAGAGTGGAGTGAGAAGAACCTAACAACAGTAATAACATATTAAAAACATAATTTTGACGAAATTTTGAAATTAAATTGATATTAAGCTAATAACCAGTTTGTAACTGTGATCAACCATTTTTTTTAATCTATTGATTGTACTAGGTTTGATTTAAAGATTCTTTTGTACTTCATCCCTTTGTACCTCCCCCCAAAGAAAAATCTTTAGAAGGTTAAAAACTCATTGAATTAGGGAAAGATCCCTTAATTATCTTGTACAGTACATGAATGTGGGGTTCTGTGTCGATTTGATTTGACATTGAATTACCCGAAAAAAAGACACCCCCTCGTACACCGTCGACTCTTGTCAGCAATGTGCGATAAAAGGCGCGTTCACGCCCCGTGAATGACAGAATGTATGACGAAGAGACGAGGGCCGATAAAGGGCCCCCGGAACGACAGTCGATCGCTGTATCTCGCTCATTGACGGACACCGTTGGAGAGCGAATTTATTGTGCAGTTAATAATGGGGCCCACGTGACAGCCGATCGCGCCCGTTTATCTACTCCGGAGTAGATGATCTTTCATTATACTGCCCCGAGGTGTTTGTTCCTTGTCACATCGAATCGATTACAAATTGAAACGTGTAATTTAAAAAGGATCCGACGGCGAGTCATACTCGGAAATTTTGATCTCACGAAAATTTAAACAAATAACTATGTTTTCAAACGTCTAGTTCTCTTTAACTCAATCATTATTCAGTTTGCTTGCATATAACGATTGGATTTTTATCTAGAATTTTTATGTGAAATTCAGGAACCATATTTTTTACTTTTTTAAGCAAAATATATTTTCATGTTTTTTAAAAATTATGATATTTTTTTCATTTACGTATTAAAATAATTTGCTCAAATTATAGAAAATTTGAACCTTCAAACGTACTTCTTATTTTTTAAAGAGCTATATGTATAATCGTATCCATGCTGTAATTCTTTCGGTATTGCTGAAATATCTAGCTAATAGTTTAGTTAGATATAGATCTGAAAGTAATTTTGTTGAACCATTAAAATTATTATGTAGGACACTCAAACTGATTATGAGAATGTCGAACTTTTTGCAGCATGCTTGACTTTTCTACATAATTATTTCGACGGTCCAACAAAATTATTTTCAGATCTGTATTTATCTAAATATTTAGATACTTTAATAAATCATATATTTAGCAAAAATACATTTCGTGCATTTTTGAAATGCGACTCATTTCTTTCATTCTTTCGCTGAACGTACCAGCTCGATCTTCTTCCGCGGCGTGACACAGATTCGCTTTTCTACGGCAGATGAATATTCCTGCGCCTTCCGGAAATTCAATGGCGACAGCGCAATCCCCCCTTTATGGCGACCGGGAGATGGTGTCGCCCGCACACCAGCCCCCTTGTCTCGTTTTATACCTTCTCTCTTTATCGCCTTATCACTCGAGACGTCTTCCACTTTCTCCTCTCTCCGCAACCTTCTCCCGTTGCTTTTTCTCTCTCTCTCTCTCTCATCCTGTGACAAGACACTACCACGACTGATAACATTTATTATAAGACCTGGTCTTCTATGACTCGCCTTCCATATTCTTGTATCTCTCTGCAGCGGACAAAGCGAGAAAAGAAATTCTCTGCCTGATGACGAAAGTCGACGGTTGATCGGTGAACGCATCAGCGGCATCATTTCATACTTTTGTTCAACTCGAACTTCTTTTTTCGCACGATTTTATTATTGTCAATGTGTAAAGTATACTATACTGTATTGATATTCAATTATCTCTATAGCAGCTATACATAAGTACCGATGCGATCTGTACTAGAAAATAGGTTTTTACTTCTTCCATTTTTATTAAAAATTTTTCTTGATTGAAATAAAATAAGAATTTTCTATTTCTTTTCCGATAAAATAAAATGTCGAATTGGAAATAATTAATTTTTTTATCGTATACAAAAAAATATTTAGCAAACAGAAAAAGTTCCATCAGTATTAAGACAAAGATTCAAACTGCACGTCTAAAATCCCGCGATCATATCTTTTCACCCTTTCCTTTCTCGAAGTCTTCTCGCTCCCTCTATCCACCACTGTCTTCGGAAATATCAATGGACCGGGTGCACCTGGCTGACCACCGACGAAAGGCGGAGAGGTCAAAAAGGCGACTGCGGCGACGGCAGTGGCGCGATAATCCGCACGACAAACGCACCCGCACCCCGCCGTCGCGGTCGTTGTCTTCGTGACTGCGCGGGAGGAGAACAGAAAGAGGGAAAGAAACGAAGGAGATAGAGACTTCTCTCCACCTGTTGCGCGAACCCGCGTATCCGTTCTGGACCGCCATGCCGACGCGGTGGCCAATCGCGACCGCCCATTGGCTGCGCTAAATGGTGGGAGCCGCGCCACCGCGTCCGATTGGCGCGCCGTCTTATTTCACCCCACGTCCCACGGGAGCCGAGCCGCGCCGACGAAGGTTCCGTCCCGTGGGTTCGCCCAGATGCTACGTGCTTCGTGAAGTTCCTGAGGGAACCCGCGCGATTCTGTCAGTGCACCAAAAGGACTCGTGTCTGTCAGATCAAGCCCCTCGCTCGGAAAAAAAAATTACGTCACAGAAGCGCAGGACTGGAGCAATCGCTGAAGTATAACTGTATCGTGACAATTGAAAGAAGACGACCCCGTCAGTTGAAAGGATCTCCATTGACAGATTAGTTTAGTTCATCGTGAAATTGTTCAAGGAACGTATCGAGAAGCTGTAGAATCCTCCACGCAGAAGAATCCAGTGATTACTAGGCGATCGCATATTCTTTCGAAAGAATTCGACGATCAGAAGATTTGAAATGTCATCCCGATGTAATTAATGATTCAAGATATCCATTATTTTTGGAAATATTTTGGAAATGCTCTGAGAAATGCACGATATTTTGGGGAAGTACTCATCGTTTTCAAATGAAGATTTATTTTTTAACTGGAACGTCTAGTCTTTTCGCGAGATACTATTAAACATTTGAAGAAATAGAATAAAATTCATAAATATCCTGAATCGTCGAAAGATGTCTTAAATATCAATGTCAATTTCGTGCAGTGAATGTGAATCAATTCGTAAAGTTTTAAGATAGAACGATCTAATTAATCGCGACCAACCAAAATAGTTAATGCTGATGATACATCATGCTCAACAATCTATCAAAGAAAGTTTCGAAAAGTCTTTTTTAAGGGAACGGTCGATCAATATAATTTTATGTGAATCGTTAAAGATTACAAATAAACATATTTAACTTATAAAAATTCTGTGAGATCTTCAGAAATACGTCAACAGGATGTACGGAAAATTATCTTATCCACTCGAGATAGGAGTGGTCTATGAATCTTTTAATCCATCAGTAATCTCGTCTACTCGTGAGGAAAGCAATTAGGAGATTAAACATCGAGATATAGGAATCGAACGACTCATGGAGATGTCGTCAAAGACTTTGCATAACGAACATATTAAACGGCCGATGAATGCCTTTATGGTGTGGTCGCGTGGTCAACGTCGCAAAATGGCACAGGAAAATCCGAAAATGCACAATTCGGAAATCTCGAAGAGGCTCGGTGCCGAGTGGAAGCTCCTGAGCGAGAGCGAAAAGCGTCCTTTCATTGACGAGGCAAAAAGATTGAGGTGAGCTCATCAAAAAATACACGGACATACGCTGAACACTTATTTTATATTAAAAAATTGACACTCATAATGATTAGCTCCGAAAATTAACTTGCTTTTTATTTAACTAATTTCCGAAATTAAATTAATTTTGAAGAGTGCTTATTTCTCTTACATACAAGCTTAAATGCATAAATTTATTAAAATTTTTAATAGCTATATTTCCTATATTACAATTAAAACTTGATATTTCAAACTAAGCTTATGATTTTATTATTATTTATTATATTTGTAATAAACTTTTTAATATTTTATTTTCAAAATAAGCAGTATGTATATATTTTTTTTTTCTTTAACTTTCTAATAACTTTCCTTTTACAATATATGTATGCGTTTTAAGAAGGAATTACAAAAAATTTAATATGACATAAAAATGATAATACAATAATTAAAATATAATCAAGCTGTAATTAGGACATAAATAGGAAATAATTTAAAGATAACTGTTTAAATCTTTTTATCAAAATCTTTTTTATTCTCTCTCTCTCTTTTAATATTATTATACTTTTTATTCTCTATTTATGACATAATAATCTTTTGATAAATCATTACGTTATCACATCATTTCTAGATTATATAGATAATAAAATATAGAACCATGTATGATTTAATGAGAATAAGTGATGGAATTAATGAATTAAGAAGGTAAATGAATAAATAGAATTTTTTCTCCATTTCTTTGAAAATTTTCAATTCATTTCTGCACTAAGAGACTAGCCTGAGATAATACAGATAAATATGAGAAATAAGACAACATTTTGAAAATTATATTACGTGTGATAAGAGAGAGAGAGAGAGAGAAACTTATAATTAAAAAATCTCTCTTATCACACACACACTTGTTTCTTCCGGGATTAAAATTACAGCGTACAAACTCTACATTTTTACATACAAATTAAACGCTGATTTTTAGATGCTTGAAACAGATTTTACATATTATAAATTGATGTATATTTTTAGTTACTCAAGAGATTTAATGATATAATATTTTAATTATATACAAGTCATATACATTTTTGGAAAATTGTAAAATAGCTAATATTTTTTATCTTTTCAATCAACTACATGTACTCGTATTTCATCAATGATTTAGTATATCTGAGACAATCATTTTATCTCTATATCAACAAGAATAAACCTATCCAGTAAATATTGCTTTACAGAGTTATCTACAGTGTAAATATTGTTTATTTCACACTTTTTTCTCTATTATTTCTCCTTAACAAGGTACATACTCACAAATATGAAATATAAAGAGAAGAAGAAATAAATTTCGCGTTCTTTCCGATAGACAGGCGACTACTTGTTCTTATGGCGACACTAATTGCTCCTCAGTTGCGATAATATACTCCAAATGATTGCGTTGATTGGGGTGGGGTCCGTATCAACAAGAATCAAGGGAATCGAAATGGCGGGAAAGCGTGCCACGCGATCGTCTCGTACTTCATAATACAGTACATTGTTGCTGAGAAGCTTAGGGGGCTATGCAGCGCTTACCCGGGTTGAAATGGGGTGAGATATGGCCGGTATTTATAGGGCGGGCGAGACGAGCTCTTTATTACCGGCCCTGAATATTTAATCACTGTTATGAGTTTATTTAGCTCGCCGAGCGGCCGCGCCGATTTTTCGAGGCAGGCACGCTCTTGAAAGGGCCCTCTTGAAAAAGAGGTCCCGGCAATCTCGCGAGAATCTTCCTCTGGAGTATCCTCGTAACGTCTTTTAATTTTGCGAGCCTTATTCGCGTAACGTTTTGCAATTTCGTAAACGCAATTTCATCAAATGGGATACTAGTATTAATTTTGTGATGATAATCAACGCGCTTAAAAAAGTGATCGTTTCACTTTAAATATTTTCATATTTTATTTAATGTACTGTTTCTTGACTTCGATTGGTTTCTTAGAATGAGAAAAATTGTTGAAAATTTGATGACTTTATATTTGTAAAATGATTTGTTCGGCTTAATCAATTATGGCATTCATTCGACATTCATCGACAAATGAAATCTTAAAAAATGACATTAATGAACATGTTATGTATTTTTTTAGCCTTCTATAGAAATTATTTCCATATTTATTAAATAAGTATTTGTGTTTTTATATTTCTGTGATCACATAACAATTTATAGTTTTAAAATATTTTTATATTAATTAGATTAGTTATTGTTACAAATTATTTTATGCACTATATTATTTACTTGATTTGACAAATCTTTCAAAATAAATTTATGCTAAATATGCTTTTCAGTAATATGTGTCATTCGAAAAATCGGAGCTGAAGGGAAGAGGAATAGGTTTGCTCAAGGTGCGTGCAGATTAAATTTGGAAACGATCCCCGCTCTTTCGCTTTTCGATCTCGTCTCGGAGAACAAGATTTAAACTGATTCCACACTCTCTAACCCCGTGCCCGCGTTGCAAAATATCCCGACCTCGATTTACATTCCACCCTGATGAGAATAAAAAAGAAGGAAATAGAAGAAAGCGAGGGATGTCCCGCGATGCCGCTAAAATTTTTGATGAAATCGCGAATACCGAAACCGATGTCGTCTTGAATGAATCACCGCGTTGAACAGATCGCTGTGCAGAAAATCCCTTTGATTGACGCATCCACGTCGATAAATGATATAATCGATAGTGACGCACCCATCGAATGTGACACAATTTGTCATATATTTCAATCGAAATCATCGAATTCAGATACTTTATTCAATTAATACATTTAACACTTTGCGCTATTTATTATATTTTGTACGTAGTAATGATGAAACATGTTTTGTATCATTTGGTATCCGAAATTATTAAATTTTCGGCCACCCAGCCCCCACTTGACTTACCAACGATACAAAAGCGCACAACAATGGGCCATATTTTTCCATCGAAAATTTCTAAAAGAGAAAGAAAACGAGAAGAGCGACGCTGAAGGCGGGGTGAGAGGTATGGGCAATCCGAGGGAAATTTCGACGCGAACGTGTAACGGCGAATCCGCTTTTCTGGCGGATGGCAGCGACGTCGACGACGGGAGTAGGGTGGCGGCCGTAAAATAAAAGGGGTGAGCGAGGAGGGGGAGGGGGAGGGAAACGGAAAGGGAGGTAAAGTCGTTCCCTTGGAGCGACGTCCTCGGTAGGAGCGGGTTCCCTTGGACCCGCGCCGTCACTGGCCCGACGTAATCTGTCCGTTCGTTCACGGCGACTCACAATGTGGCCCCCGAGATAACAAATAAAGCCCCATTGTCGCAATTGTGTGGATTTAAAAGGATTTGCCCGGCTTCTCCGCACCCCCGCCGCCGCCACCGCCGTCCGCGCTCTCAGCGATCCTCTCTCTCTTTCTCTCTCGCCTGCTCGTCTTCCCTATCCCTCCCCCTATTCCTCTCGCCCTTCCCCCCGTTATACGTACCAATTCAACCCCCTACGTGTTCCGCAGCCTCTTCCCGATTTCTCGCTTCTCTCGTTGCGGTGAAACGGGCCTTTTTACGCGCTTTGATGTTACATATGAACGTCCGTCTGATATTAGCGGGAAATCTGTCAATATGATTAGTCGCGAACAATCTCGATTTGGTTAATCGAGTATATTCTATATTGGACTACAATATTGTGACAATATGAAAGTGTCAAGAACAATTGCTCGTTTAGTTTAATTTAATTTAATTAGTAACGGTGCGGAAATTAATTTCTCGTGATTTCTTTTTGGATTTATCATTGAAATTCATCAAGTTCATAAATAAAAGAAATTGCGCAGAAAATTTAAAGATAGCTTAATCGTTATTCAGATAATTTTTTTATGAAAAAAAGGTAGAGTGATACGCGAGCTGCTCTTAACTTTACTCGATCTTAAATGAAATAATAATACGAGAGGAAGAATTTCCCGCCGATCACTTAAACTCCTCGGAATTAAACTTTCAGAAATAAACACGTTTACGATTAATGTCCATTTTTATCGATGTAGATTAACTTCTCATACAGCACAAAAACTTGCGGCAACATTGCTGCAACGTTATTGCAATCATGGTGGAATCAGAAAGGTGAAAAACAAATGGCGAAATGTAATTTATTCAATATAACAATTGACGAAAAAAGTCAGTTCTATTAATTTATTTTATTATATATATTCTATCATATTTATTTTATTAATCATTTTTATATCAGGTTTTCCTGTGTTAGCGTAGATAATTCCACCATAATCAACGTGATCTTGAAATGCCATGGAATGCCACTGGCGTCTGATTGGTCGAAATTCGGCCACCCCCATCTTATCATGAACAATGGTTTGCCTTTTGGATTCCATGATTACAATATTGCTAGAATGAGACAGGCTATATGGACTATATAGAAATCTAGGTTCAATTTACTCTTCGTCTTTTTCTAATTCTTGGTACTAGAAAAAGATAAAAATAAGTCGAGATTAAAGTTATCTACGTTGATGGAAACGAACCTAATACCCGTTTCTACCAATGTAAATTAATTTTAATCACGATTCAACTTACTCTTCGTCTCTTCTTTATTCTAATTAATATATTATGTTATTTTATTAATATATTAATAATTTTTAGAATTAGAAAAAAATTAAGAGTAAAATGAACCGAGATGAAAGTTAAATTTGCATTGATAGAAACAAGCCTAAAGCCAGAATCAGATTACGCATTGAAGATTGAGATTGAAGATTGAAAAATTGAAATTTGACCAATCAAAACAATAGGAGCTAAAATTCCTTTGTCCTCATTGGTCAAATTTTAATCTTCAATCCTAATCTTCAATGTGTAATCCGATTCCGGCCTAAGAGCGTGATCCGTCCTCGCGGGCGACGCGATCGTCCACGCTTCCGGTCACAATCGTAACTAATTGTTATTGTTCCTTGTCGCGACGCGGCGAGAGAGCGCCGCGTAGCTTATGTCACCGCGGGATGATATAGTTGTTTATCGGCCGCTAGATAGAGGCATCCGCGAGGGGTGAGGCCGATGGCGAGTGGGTGGAGGGGGGAACGTGCAGAGGTTGGAATTGTAAAGATTACGGCCGATGTTTATGCATTTATGCTGAGTTATTGTCGGCGCGGCTTTACCGATGTTTATGCTGATTTACGCTTTGTGCTATCTGCTGGGACACATTGTCCCCGGAATTATTATTCCGCGGTCGCGGCAGTGTTCCGCCATCCGCGCCCTGCACGCCAGTCCTGTCCTCCTCCCCCCCCCTCAACTTTCCAGCTACCCCTTGAAATTTCGAATTTCATCACACTCTGTGTAACGGTAATTCTCCACTTTGTGTTTCCATAGAAAACGATCGGCGCATACCGAGAGACCTCTGTTATAATTATTATTAGGACTTTTTTCATCGCTGCGATAAAATAGCTGAGACGGGGGTGTTTACTTAGAAAAACCTAAAGAACCTGAAACTATCTGAGGATTTCTTTTTGATCCTCTGGGATTTTGTCGATACTCAGAGAAATTGAAATTTTATAATTTTTAAAAATAAGGATAATAAGTAACGGCAAAGAGCCTAGCACGATATAAGTGCTCAAATAATTATATATTTATATATTACAAATTCCAAATGTTTCGGTTCTCACAGAACCATCTTCAATGGACAATAAACTTACAAATTCATCAATCTTCTAAATTCCTACTCATACAATGCAGTCTTGTCTCATGCGTCGGTTAGATTACAATTTTTTTGTGACTCCTCTTATTGTCGGATTTTATTTGGAAGTCCATGGTATGCGGAAATAAGTTAGGTGAAACTAACTGTAAGTCAATGTAATCAAAGATTCATAAAATAAGTAAATAAAATTAAAATTTTATAATCTATATGTCAGTTGAATATGAAGGAAATACTAAAGTTAAAAATTATTAGTCTCACCTCTCTCTCTCTCTCTCTCTTAAAATTGTGAAATATGAAATGATATATAATTTTTAAATTTAAATTCTGTCTCTTTCTGAAAACGTTGCTTGTTTGATCTTTTTTCTTGATTAATGCAAAATGTTGACAACCAGTTAACAATAAGTATAGCATATACATTCGCGTATATTCACGTTATTAAATTAGGGTGAATTCTCTAACCTCTTATCTGGAATTTTGAATAAAAATATCTGGAGAATCCAGGAATTCTTAAGTAATTTTCTTAAGTAATTTTTTTACAAGATTTCACTAAATATCCTGTGATAACTTAACGCGAAAAAGATTATACTAGTCGTTCTCAAGAAAGAGAAGTCGCTGATCTCTCTCTTCCAATACGAATATATTTCGCATTATATAAATTATATTAATTCGAAATCACATTTATTTGAAAAAAAAACCGTGCGAATGGAAACAAACGTGCGGACAGTTTGCGCAGTTATCGCGACATAAAATAATAACAGCAGCAATGATAAAACGACTTTGCTCTCGCTAAATACGTTGTATGATGGCGTGAAGTAAATGCACCACTGTTATCATCCTCGTGCCTCCGATTGCATTGTCCTGGTGGTTTCCGGCGAAATTCTTCGCGACGCGACCGCCGTTACGAAAAAGCCCACGTATCTCCAAACCTCCCCTCTCACCCCTCCTCTTTTCTTTTTTTATCTCCATGAGGTGAGGCATAAATAAGCACTGCGTTTGTGCGCCTCGTGGGTACATAATGGAGTATTATATGTCGGAGATACCGCCGCTGTTCCTCTTTTCCCCTCACCGTCGCGCCAAAGGGGGGTGTGTGTACAAGATACTTACTGCAAATACCTATGGTGCCACGTATCGTGTTCTGAAACGGTGATAATACGTCCCATTGTACGTGGGAAGGCGACAACATAGTTTATAAAAATTGTAGAGAGAGGTGTTAGCGTTCACGATAATCGATAGTCGCGCTATAACGTAAACACGATAAAAAAAGAAAGCCACACGAATATACAGAGGGTCTCAAGACTAACGAACAATTTCATTTCTTGTATTCATAATTTTATAGTCCTACTTGGAAAAAAACAAATTTTTGTTTTTATGATGGTGTTAAGAATTTTGAAAAGTTAACAATCCGAAAAACTCATTAAATCATACAATCATATAAAAATACAGTGAATGTAAAAAATATTCATACCGGGGAGATTTTTATTTAAAAAGCCTTATTTGTAAGAAATAAAATTAATTAACAATTTATTAATAATAAATTCTAATACAAATGAAAGGCTTTGCGAAAATAATGTTTATGATCTTCAAAATTAAATTTTTTAACTATGTGAATATTTTTGTACGTCCAAATAATATAACTTTTTATTTTTGTTTATTTTATTAAATTAATATATTTTATTATATTACATCTTTTTAGGTAAAATAATTTTGAGAAATATATAATCTATTTTATTCTTCATTAATAAATTGCTAATTGATGTTTACTTTCTAAAATAAGTGTAATTATTTAAAAAGCATCTTTCCTGTACGAATACTTTTGCATTTATTGTATATACGTACAATTGTTGGCGAAAATTATTGAATTATTATTAGAAATTGTAAAAACCTTCAAAAATTTAAACAGAGCTTAAGCTTATTAAATCATTTATAATAGAACTTTTGCTTAACGACTCTTGCCGTCACGAGATGGTCATGGAATTACGTTGTAGACCCATCGCAGGCTAACTATCGCGTTCTCAGTTGCGAAACTATTCAATTAAGCCATTCCCTTCCCTTGTAACGCACATGGAACCCTTCTCAGCTGTTCCTTTCCCTTTACTTTACCGAAGTATAATGACATCGGATTCAGCTACATATTTACGATAACGACAAGCTTCAACAAATCCGCGTCGAATGAGAAAATTGGATAGAAGTTCAAAGATAATTATTAATAAGTATAAAAGATAGAACTCTTTCTTCTTTACTAAAAAGGCAATCTGTCTTGCAAATACAAAGGTTTTGATTTTATATTTTTTATAACTTAATTTATTTTTATTTAATTTTTTACACACATATATATTGATATTTTAGAAATATATATAATTTCTACAGAAAAATTTGTCATAAAATTAATTATTTCTCTTGTTATTATACAATGTTAACGCACAGAATCTCTTTTACTAACGAAAATGACAGAGATTTTAAAATGAGATTGAAACAACATTTTAACTTTTATTAAATTGTTTACAAAGTAGACTGCAATCATTGAGAAAGATCAGCTATATTTTTAATGTCACAACCTTCTTTCAAGTTAAAAAAGCAAAAATTCGAATATTTAATCTTTAATTAAAAAAACATATCGCATAATAGAATTCATTACAATCTGCTCCGAAAAAAACCTTATCTTCATAAAAACATAACACTTGAAAGAGATTGTTTTAACTTTGGTTATGGAATTATTACTTTCAATAGTGTGAAAAAATGTGATGCCGAAAAAAACGTATTTAACATTTCATATTAAATTTTTTTATATAGATATCTAATAATTACTACGGTATTCTATTATTATACATATATTGTAAATTAATCTTTCGATTCGACAAAAAATTCCTTCAGCATCTCTGACGCACTCATTATTAATTAAATAATAATTGGCTCGTTCATAGAAAAATTTGTGGAGAATTAAAACAGAGTCAAGAAATGATATTCGCGTATAAAAATTAATACACTAATAAATTTTAAAAACTTTTAATATTTTCCACAATTGTACTTTTTATGCACTTTAATCATTCTTTAGTTGGATTATTTTCAATCTTTATTACTTCCTTAAATTTGAATTACGTATTGGTCTTGATTTTGTATTCGATTGCAATGATCATTTTTATAATTTTTAAAATTAATCCATTAAAAATGTCAGCAGCAAAATAAGTTGCGATTTAAATAATTTTTTAATCTGAAAATAAATTTTTAAGAAAATAGATTTATTGCATAGCGTTAACATTATATTGTGAACAAATTAATAAAATAGTTAGGCAATAAAACAATTTAACTAAATTTGAGATCTCTATATTTGAAAAAACGGAGCAGATATTTACTCGAGTTTTTCTTGCATACCTACTTGTTCGGAAAATACAACGCGCTCTTTATTTTTTACGCACTGATTTCTTTAATATCATATTAACTCTATTAATTTCTTTAATTTTTATGTAGACTTTTAAAAATACATATTTCAATCTTCAAATTTTTAAATTATATAAGAAAAATTTTATTTTTTAAGTGGATTACACAAGTCAAAATTTTCTATATTACAATTTTTGTTATGTAAAAAAGAAATGTTGCATCTTCCTAATTCAACATATTTAAATACACAGAGTAGTATGTGTCTGTTTTATTGCTTTATATTTACTATTAATTAATGGTTGATCGTCACTAGTATCATTAATACAATACTAACCACAATTACACAGACACCAAATACCAATACGCAAAAGAAATTGCAGTCGAATCTAGCAGTACAATGTTACAAATTACTAACCACATTTCAGAGCTCTTCACATGAAAGAGCATCCCGACTACAAGTATCGGCCGCGCCGGAAACCGAAGTCCCTGGTAAAGAAGGAGAACAAGTTCGGCTTCTCGATATCGCCACTGATATCGCCTGGCGACAGCCTGACCAATCTTCCACGCGGTCTTCTGCCACCATTGACGCCTCCGACGCATCATCCATTGATGTCACACGAGGACCTGAAGATTCCGCGCTTTTTTCCACCGTTTGCCTATCCGCTGTATCCCTTACAGCACAAGCTGAGCGACGACTTCAACGGCGGTAAGCTGGCCGCCGATTTGGCCTTACAGGCCCTCTACACCGGCAGTCCCTTTTATCCGAGCCATCAAACGATATCCTGGCCGACGAGTCTATCGGCAGCCGCATGTTTACAACCTAACTGCAGCTGCCCGAGTCCGCCGAAGGAGCCTAAAAGGCCGTTTCCTCCGTCCAAGATGGATGACCCGCCTTTCCCAAGCCCGGCAAGAGCCGACGACGATGCCGTCGTTGCGGAACGAGAAGAATCTCGGTATCGAAAACTCGAGTTGGACTTCTCCGCCAATCTGGAGAGTCATCATCATCATCATCATCACCATCAGGAGGACCGTTCTCAGGATCGCTTCTCTTCATCCTCATCCTCGTCACCTCCTACGGAACAGTTAGAGAGATCGTCGACGACGACAACGACAACCACGACAACATCGTCATCAAGCGGCAAAGTCGATAGCGCCTTCTCCGTTCAGAGTCTGACGTCGACTTCTAATGGCTCGAATTCAAGCTCACAACGTGGACACGTCATATGAAGGCCGCTCCCGGTTCTCCCGGATTTGAACTTCCGGGGGAGCCTGATGCCGGCCGCGTGGCCGACTGCCGATTGGTGGCGGGTCGCTCCGATGCTCTCCCCGATCCCCCAAACGACGGTCGTGAATCTGAGCACCGGTGTCGTCAAGGAAGATGCCGTCCACTTCCAAAACGAGCAACAGAGGAACTCGACAACCGTGTCCAGGCCGCCAAGGAATGGCGTGCATATCGCCAACATGCAGTGATCCAATCAATAATTGTTGCGCATTCTGTGGATGAATATTTTAGTATCTCGCAATCGAAAGTGAATCAGTGCTATCGCGTAGCTCTTGAATGAGCTCTGAAATGAACGTTGAACGCCAAGGGCTTTCTCCTTTTTAACGAGGACTCGTTTTGTAGTTTGATCTCTTTCGGGGTAACATAATCCAAAATAACGAGTGAAAAACGACGTGCGAGTGAAGCATCCGTCAGAAAAATATCGGAATCGAAGAGTAGGCCGTGTTGAAGAAATAGCTTCTCGACCGCAGTCGGAGCTGACGAACAGAAATAGAAATCGATAACTCGGCTATACGGCCCCGAAATCCTACAAAGGGCGGGCGCAAAGGGTCCTTTCGACCGGATCGTGCACGCGAAGCTGGATGCTAGAGGAGTCCAATTCTGATGAGATAACCAACCCTCTCACATGCCACATATTATGGGGTGGACGGGCGGGACGCGTTCGGGGGTGGACACGGTGGGGAAGGGAGGAAAAAAAAAGCTCTTCTGGCGGAGGCAAATCTCTTCTTTGGGACGCGGCCGTGCGAAATAAGCCTGAAACGTTCTGAATGCTAACGTAGAGACGCGTACGAACCCCGACGACGCGGTTTCGTTGTATCTCGCGGCGTCGCGCTGCGCTGCACCGGCTTTCGCGACGAAAGCGGCGAAAGCATCGATACGGCGAAATGGAAGACGCGTGGCTGGCTTTGCGAACACTAGTCGCGACGCGAATCCTTTTCTAATATTATGGGAAAACCAGAAAAAACATTCTCGAAAGTTGTCAGAGGTATATTACGTTCTGTCTCCCTTGATTTCGTCAATGTTGTCTGATAATCCGAATAACGAATAGGATTATGTTTTTAACTTTTCTCTAACTTCTGCGCAGAGCATCGTTATAATGTTGTAATTCACTTGTTTATAATATTTTGACATTTTAATTTATTAAGATTAAGAGGCTTATATCCTGATTGTTCAATGAGGAAATATAATTTAGAGAATGAATTGAATGAAAATTAGGACATTTTCACTATGAAAATATATTTACCGATGTACATAATTTTACATCTGAAAAAATAGAAAATAAATTGAAAAAATATTTATATCTTTCACAAAATATTCATGAATCTCTCCATTTTGGACCAATGTTCCAAAAGGCTTGATCTGAAATTCAACAAAATTCAAATGTTTTTTTCAAATGTATAGATACTATTTATCGAGGAAGGCCACGTTTTCCATTCTATTTCTTCCCAAAATTTTTTCACTGAACTATCTGATGGATAAGTCTCTTGATTCATAACACAAGACACGCGCGATATATTTTATACGATCTCGTTTTTGTTATATGTGTAACGATTATTGTTGACTTGTTAAGGCGAGTTGTAACATTATCGCTCGTTCGTCGAGAGTAATCCGCCGACTTCTCCCCCTTGTAGAAATTCCCACTAAGTATTTCTAACGACCGTAGCGAGCACTGATGCGAGTTCATTAGCGTGTACCCTAACGGGAGTAAGATGCAAGTAAACATAAAACTTATCTAACGCATAGAAAAACATATCCTCTTTCTCTCGTTTTCTCTTTCTCTCCTTCTCTCTCTCTCTCTCTCTCTCTCTCTCTGTCTCTTTCTCTCTTTTTCTCAATAATCACGCGACGCATTTTGCGGACGCATAGCGACGCTTCGATTAACTCGATTAATTCGGAACAAGAATAACGCGGATGCGCCACGTTAATCCCCGCCTCGACGATTACGATACTATTGTTAATTACTTCTGTAATATAATATATGCAACGCGTTTGTAAATAAATCTCGATCCGAATTAAGGAATATTGTCCCCATCCCTTGAACTTAATTCTTGCATTTTTCAAACATGATTATTTAGAAGCGTAAACAAGGAGGCTTTCTTTTCCTTTTGTTAGCAGAATTTTTACCGGTGTACATTTAAGTCAAGATAGATATTCGCAGTCATTTTTTCTGTATGCTCGCATTTTTATCAAAGATCAAATATTAGCGAGGACAGTCTAAAAGTCTACGTCTGAAGTTTCAGCTTATCGCGAGGCTAATATCGCGCGAGTGAATACGAGCGCACGTTTTGCACAACCCTCGTGGTTTTTTCCAAGGAAAGCCGCGAAATTAATCGGAGGGGGTGACGACGAGGAAAATCTCGAGGGCAATGTGAAGTTTCCTTCTCCCGTCGTCCCCTCCTTCCTACCGGGCCTACAGGGCGGCTCGTCGTGTTTTATTTCTGATAGCGACGCCTCCGTCGCTGCCACGAGGACATTATCGCCACCGCGAAGGACCCTTTCTTCCCCCATAAAGGCAATCATGCTTTCTCCGCGGTGAGATAACGGCGGGAATGGCGGCACGTTCCCTCTCTGTTCCACGACAATCAGTAGAATTCTTCGTCGCGTTTACGATCGATTTCACAAGCAACGAAGACACTGCTCAAAAGTCGATATGTACATATATATAAATCCTTAAAACAATTTAAAATAAAAATCACTCAGAGGAGATTTAACTTTGAATATGAACCAATAAATGAAGTAGTTCTTAATTTTTGCTCACTAAATACAAAAAATACCAACAAAAGTCTACACTACAATTAAAAGTAGCACTACAATTTTTTTTCTTATTGAAATGTTTATTTAAATGTCATTTTTAATAAAAATATCTGCTTTATTTTTCTTTAATCATTTTTACATGAATTTAAATTTTTCCTTTTCTTTCCTTTGAACTATGTGAGGAGATACATAACTTATAGATGCAACACACATGAGGAACCTAACTTTTATTCTGATTTCCAACTTGACAACTTGAAATATAGGCTATAAACTTTTTCTAAGGTTTATTGCAAGGGATCTACTATATGATTTCATTATGAAATAACTACACACATAATAGAATTTATTTGACATTTATACAAGATCTACGAGAAGAATTCGCTATATTTTAAAATTTTCAAAAAACAAATTTTTTTTTAACTACCAAAAATGACGTGTTACGACTTTTTGAACATCAGATATGAAAAAATCAACGAAAAAGCACAAAACTGTAGATTTTACTAATATTATCAAATTCTTGTTGACAAATATAATTTGTAATTATAATGTTCTTTTTTTACTGAAAATATTATGAAACGTTTTTCTGAACGTCTAGGATCTATCCAATCCTATACAAAATCCATTCTAGTCCTTTAGGATGGAATATCATTGGTGGAACGCGAGTTTCTATGCGCTTTCGCGAATAACGCCCGGATTGTTCGAAGATGACAACGACGATGGCGGAGGGCTGGTAAGTTTTACGGGGGTGGTGCACAAAGATGTGGAAAGAGGAACGTGCGGGTAGAAGAGCAGCAACGACTATCCTCTGACCAGGGAAGTCTACGCGCCACTCCATTAGTATGCGCGGAAGTGCGCCGCGCTCGATTGTGGCGGGTATTGTCATCGAAGAATGTCCTCGTTGCGCGGAGCTTCACGGCTCCGGACGGTTCCCTCGGTAAGGAGACGAAAGCGGGAATTCGAGTGAAATGTAATCACTCGTCGAGAGCGAGGATCGAGAGAACATCTCAACCACGCAGTTCATCCGATGCGGCGAGAAGGACGACTCTGACAACGCTACGTGTCGATAGGGGTATCTTAGGAGTAACATTGTCTTCTTGATTTCAGAGAATTTCAACTTCTGCGTCGTCATTCCATAGCTTGCAATTGAGTTTTACGTCAACGTTGCCGCGAGTATTTCTACGCCGGGGCACGCGAGAAACTTGTTTCATTTAGTTGGAATTAGCCCGGGGCACAATCCCAGTAATCTTCGCCAAAACACGAGCCAGGGGGTTGCACGCGAGTCAGATTTAAATGATCTTTCAGCCTCAGTACCTAAAATTTCCACGGAGATAAGGCGACGGTAAAATCTGTTTCGCCATTTTACCGAAATTAGCGGGGACACACAGGGATCCTCTTTGGGATTCCCGCGTCCGAAGGGGGTGGGACGGACGTTTTAATTGCGTCGCTCGTCCGCGCTCGGCGATATCAGCCGCGCTTTTATGCATGGCGTAGAGAGGAGGCGCGATCGTTTGATTGCGGAAAATGACGGGCGGCAGTGGGCGCGAGTGGAAGTTTTGAGTGGGCGTCGGTCCCGGCAGACAATGAGGCATTCAGGCGCGGCATTGTGCCGGCCGACAACTGCGTTACCCTAGACAAACCCGAAATCACCGGCGCTATCGCCGCTCCAGATCCGATTATGCGAATAATAAAAAGCGTGATGACAGAGTGAGAGAAAGAGAGAGAAGGAGAAGGGATGAAGAACGAGAGATATAGGGGTGGGCGCACTAAAGGTTAATAATAGCGGAGCCGCGTGGCTGACGCCTCCCTTATCGTCTTACAACAAACATCTCGTATCTTTATATTCTTTAGATTGCACAGTAAGATACGTGAGAACCTTCTCCGAAAATTTTTTGTAATTAATTTAAATAAAAAATTTCCTGGAATGTACTAAGAGGTCTAGCGATATATATATATTAAAAAACAAAAATGAAAATTTCTCGAATTTTTCAAAGTTATTATGAAATCCGTCAAATATATCGAACATTGTATTTCAGATAACAGGGAGAATAGAAGAGCCAATTTCACGAAATTGCTTACGGCAGCCTGCAGTTTTCTAATTTTTGAATTATGCATTTTTCAATATTTTATTATGAATATCTCAGCGATTAAACATCTTAAACTGTGAAGACTACGAGACTATGATAATGATAATAATAATAACTAATATTGAGTATATATTAGGTAGGATGGTACAATTTCGAACATGGTTCTGAATGAAATAAGATTTGAATTCAATTTTCGAGATCCAAGTTTGGTAACCTTTTCATTGTATGAAGGATTCAACTTTTATTTCGTTCAGAATTGTTCCATGTTCTAAATGATACTATATTACCTTACAATTTAGGATGACGAGATTGTTAAAATTGACGTAAAATTTAAATGCGCCGCAAATGACGAACAATATAACTGCTATGAGACTATAATATTAAAATTGCATAAATAAATATAACAAAAAAAAGAACGAAAATGTCTAACATTCGTGAAATGTGAGGTAAGATGTGAAGAAAAGTAGCAGATTGGAAAGTGATGAAGAGGAATGTCAAAGAGTAATTAATTGTAGTATCTAGAGAGTAGCAATGTATAAAGATGACATGGAATTTTTTGAAGTGATGTAAAGGAATGGAAACATTTTTTGGGAGTGCGAGTAAAGAAGAGACGAACAGAGGCGTCATCATGAAATATTGTTACCTATTTGCTTGGGTCTCGATTCGTGAGCGATTAGCATTTCTGGATTGATAGGTGCTTTATACCATCGGTGCAGGTTTATGCCATCGTCCCGTCGCGGGAACGGCCATGAACGTCGCTTAATTATGCATTAGGGGAAGGAGATCGTCAAGTCCGACGAAGTTGGCGAACTTGGTTAATTAGGAACGGTAGTCAGACGCTGCCTGCCATTGTCCAGCGCTGTTGACTTCCGGCCTTCACGCCCGTCTGTCTCACCTCTCTCCAGCCCCTCCCCCAGCGCTCCCTTTCCCTCTCCCTTGGTCTCTATCCCCGTTACAGAGGGGCTGAGGACTGATTGTTTCATTGTTTCCGACCCCACTGTCAAATGCCACCGACTTGAATGGGGTTATTGTTGTTTCAGGCCACGCCGCAGACAATTCTCGGGGTTTTCAGGGTGCGCGCCAAGGCCAACATCCGAAGCGCAACTTTCGCCACCGCCCTTTCCACCCTGCCTTCGATTGTCTACAAGTGATATTTTCATTAAAGACGATACATATAGTTATTTTTTCGTGGTTTTCTTAGGGGATTGAATGGCAGCTGGAGAATGTCCTACAATATCTGCCAGCAATGGGATTCACTTTGCTAATTTCTATCTCCCTTAAAACATATGAGTAATAATATAATTGAGTATCAGTCTGAGGATCAAATTTGATCAAT